TGAATCTTGAACAAACATACAGGTGGCTGATATTTAGCTAAGTAGTTAAAAGTGTGGGTTTCCCAGAAATGAAAATCTATTCCCGGGGCGCCTGGGTGGCTCAGTTGGTTAAGCGACTGCCTTCAGCTCAGGTCATGATCCCAGAGTCCTGGGATCGAGTCCCACATCGGGCTCCCGGCTCAGCGGGGAGCCTGCTTCTCCCTCTGACCCTCTCCCCTCTCATGCTGTTTCTCTCTCTCTCTCTTAAATAAATAAATAAAATCTTTAAAAAAAAAAAAGAAAAAGAAAAAAAGAAAATCTATTCCCAACCCCATAGCAAAGGATATGCATTAGCGCCCTTAGCTCCAAGATCTGAAGATCTGAGCAATGCATGCCTAACTGAGAAATGCAAACATCTCAGTGAGGCAAAAGGAGGTCAGAGATTCATTTCCTTTCCTGGCCCAAGGGAATAGAACCCCGTATTAAAAAACAATGCTGCAGAACAGACTGGGAAAAAAATCAGGAATCCAAGTAGCTCAGTCTAATTCCAGGCAGAGAGAGGAATCAGTTCCAAAACTGTGAAGACCAGTTTCATAGCTTTATGTCACCTCCATCAAAGACTCAGGCTTGTGTGGATTGCTGAGGAAGAGCCGGCACACACTTTGGGGCTTCACACTTCGCATTCCCAATCACTGAGGGCCACTGCCTGTGACTAGAACAGAGGGACCATGAGCAGCAAACCTTCCCCCTTTCTCCCCGACACAAGCACTTTGGGGCCAGATACCCAAGGAGGTGCAGAGCACTCAGCCAAGGGTGTACTGTGCTGCTTGTAGCCCTCGTTTCACTGCAGAACATCAACCTAAAATAAACATGGGGAAGTAAGGGAAAGTGTGTGGGGGGAGCCTGACCCAGGGGAAGTCCCGGGCAGACTGGAAGTCCCAGAGACATCTGATTATTCCATTATCAGCTGAGTCACTCCCTGAACCCACACTGTTCCCTCTGCATCACACACTGCCAGGCACCAAGTATTGGTTCTTACAGGAAGGGGAACCCTATGAAGCAGCAAGAACTACCCCCTCATTTTAGAGATGTAAAACCTGAAACACAGAGGCACTTCGTAACCCAGAGCTATTAATTAAGCCATATTTCTAACCAAGGTCCACTGCATCCAACATGCATGCTTTGAATCACTATACTGCACTGTCTGCCTATTAGTTTAAGAGAGCAGTAAAGAAAGCCCACTTCACATTCTGAGACCTAAGGATTTGAATGACTTACTAGCGATGAGTTACTCATTATACAGTTAAGATTTAGCAACAGCAGAAGAGCTGACTAAATTCTCTTCATATATCAAAATGCTATCAAATACACCTACCATTAAGGGACTATTCCATTGGTTCTCAACTCAGGAACACTTAGAAATGTCTGGACACATTTTTCTGTCGTCATAAATCATGGGGTGCTACTGGCACCTAGTGGATAGAGGCCGGGGATGCAGCTAAAAATCTTAAAAAGCACAAGACAGCTCACCCACAAAGAGCTGGAATTAAAAAAAAAAAAAAAAAGTCAATAGTGCCAAGGCTGAAAAACCATAGGCCATGACAAAGAGCATACATGCAAAATCCTCAGTGTCGCAGATGCAGTTCCTGCAATAGAGGCTAGCACCAGGTGACCATTTTCGTGGCCCCAAAAGTTTGGCACCTGTGCGACCTCCCCTACCTCCATCAGCTCCCAGAATCCACTAAAACATGAAGACAGACCTCTGAGTTCTTAGATGTGCCAGTCTTGTACTTTGCTACCAGTTCTAAGTATTTTAAGGGAAGTGGTTAGAATTAATAGTAAAAACTAGATTTGGGCATTATCCGTTTATTATCCATACTAACCCACTGTCCATTATCACACATAATTGAAGAATGGCTCTATTCGTAGCAGAAATACACAAATTTATGATTCTCATGAGTTTTAGCCTGTGAATAGGGAGGCCCAAGAAGAAGGCCTGGCAGTCAAGATAGAGCTGAGCTTATGTATTGGTGGAATAAGCTCCCAGGTACCTGCAATTCAGCCTAAGAAGAGCATGCAGACATTTCTGATGTGAGAAATAATTAGCACAGCTCCTTAATCTGAACTACGTAACCACAGCATTCATCCAATTATAAGTTAAACTGAAGCATGTTTATCAGACTCTAACTGAAGGTGAAGTCAACAGGCCATAGTGGCCAGGAGTTAGGAGGATCAAGTCAGATGTAATCAAGGCCTCATGTCTGCTACAAGAGAAACTGGCTACAGGTGACAAACAGGAACAAGCAAAGCCCTCCCTGGGCCACGGAACCCCGGGAGTCCTTGGTGGCATCCAAACCATAGGCAGCAGACCTGGGTTTCCTCCAGCAGCAGCAGTCTCCACCGCTTACTAATTAGTGTCACTGTTTTAATCACCATAATGAGTGGTCCAATTATATTCCTCTCCCAGCACATCAATGCACAAGACAGAAAGCTGAGTCAAAATCAAAAGTCACAAGCACATTCATTTTTAAACACTTCCAGAAACTGGGAAAGAAAATGGAGATTTCTCCATGCTGTGGTACCTGGAGGCTAACTGGAAAACCTGAAGGTGTCCACACCTTGCAGACCTTCAAAACCTAAGTAAAAAACAGAACATATACACTTGCAAACTCACACACACATATGTGCACCTGCCCTTTAAACAACAACAACAACAACAACAAAAAGAAAACCCAACACTGGCTACGTGACTCCTAAAGACAAGATTCCAGAAACCCACAACTAACATCATACTCAATGAAGGGAAACTGAAAGCTCTTCCTCGAAGATCAGCACAAGATAAGGATGTCTGCTCTCACCACTTTTATTCAGCATAGTACTGGAAGTGTTAGAGCAATCAGACAAGAAATAAAAGACATCCAAATTGATAAGGAAGAAGTAAAACTGTCACCAGTGGCAGATGACATGATGCTACAGAAAACCCTAAAGACTCCACCAAAAAATTAGAATAAATGAATTCAGTAGAGCTTCAGAGTACAAAATATACAGAAATCTGTTGTATTTCTATACACTAATAACAAAGTAGGAGAAAGAGAAATTAAGAAAACAATTTCATTTACAATTACACCAAAAAGAATAAATTACAGAAGAATAAACTTAACGGAGGAAGTTAAAGGCCTGTACTCTAAAAACTACAAAACACTGACAAAGGAAATCAAAGATGACACAAACAAATGGAAGGATATATCACACTCAAAGAATGGAATAATACTGTTAAATGTCCAGTTTACCCAAAGCAATCTACAATTCAATGCAATCCCTATCAAAATACAAATAGTATTTTTCGCAGAAGTAAAACAAATAATGCTAAAATTTGTATGGAATCTCAAAAGATCCTAGAGAGCCAAAGCAATCTTGAGAAAGATGAACAAAGCTGGAGGTAACACAATCCCAAATTTCAAGATATACTACACAAAGCTAGAATATACTTTACCACTTGTTCTCAAGTAGTTTTTTGGGTTTTTTTTTTTTAAGATTTTATTCATTTTGACAGAGAAAGACAGCGAGAGAGGGAACACAAGCAGTGGGAGTAGGAGAGGGAGAGGGAGAAGCAGGCTTCCCGCGGAGCAGGGAGCCCGATGTGGGGCTCGAACCCAGGACCCTGGGATCATGACCCGAGCCGAAGGCAGACACCCAATGACTGAGCCACCCAGGTGCCCCCCCAAGTAGATTTCTATATTGTGATGAAATCTGTAATGGACAAACTCTAAGAAAGATTTTTGATTTCAGGGTTATCTAAGGGCAACTTATTTCCTATCTCGAGTCCCAATTATAGCAAAGAAAACCAAATTTTTAACCCTCCTCACCAAATATTTATTAAATGTCTATGTTCAGGGCTTGAAAAAGAAAAAAACTGCTACTCAAAGAGGGATCATTGGGCTAGCGGCATCAGCATTACACCCAACTCCAGACCTTTAGAATCGGAGTCTTCCCGCTAGCATGATCCCCATAATGTGATCTGCACATTAAAGTCTGAGAATGAGAAGTACTGGTTCAAAGAATTCAGAAAGGTGACAACATAGACCAAGGCTGAACCAAATCTAACCACCATTCTGCCAAATTTATGCTCTTATCAGACAATATGGCTCTCAGGAGTTCTGTCTGCAAAATCCACACATCAGTCTCATTAGACTGGTGGCCCTCAACCAGGGCAGACTGGGCCTCCCAGAGGACACTTGGCAATGTCTAATTACATTTTTGTCACCATGGGCGGGAGGTACAGGTGTTACTGGCATCTGGTAGATAGAAACCAGGGATGCTGCTAAACATCCTACAATGCAGAAAAAGCAGTCCTCCACAACAAATAATTACCTGGCCGAAAATATCAAAAGTGCAAAGGTTTTTAAAAAAAGAAAAAAAACTAAAACAAAAACACTTCCTTGATTTTCTGACTCAATATAATCAATCAACTTCGGTCATTTAATGAACTGATTTGAGCATCCATATCCCATGTGGGAAAAAGTAAACCAGTAATTATGAACACTTCCCGTCCAACACTCCATAGAGTGTAAGGTTCCCTCAAGAGCTCATACAAGGGCTGCCTGGGTGGCTCAGTCGGTTAAGCCTCTGCCTTCGGCTCAGGTCATGATCCTGGTGTCCTGGGATCGAGCCCCGCATGGTCGAGCCCCGAGCCAGAGCCTGGCATCGTCGGAGCCTGGCATCGTCTGGCTCCATGCTCAGCAGGGAGCTGCTTTTTCTTCTCCCCCTGCCCCTCCCCCCAGCTCCTGCTCTCACTCACTTAAATTAAATCTTAAAAAAAAAAAAAAAAAAAGAGTTCACACCAAATCAATAATCATCAACACTGACAACCAAGACCAATACAGTAAAACAACAAAGGTACATGTTGTAATATTTCAAAATTATACAAGCTAAATTCTAAAAATACATTGCTACCATATATACTTGTGCAATAAAAACATTCTGGTCTTCACTTAATTCTTCATTTTTCTCCTACCACACAGGATCATTAGTGAAGAAACACTATGGCCACTTCAAGATGACAAGCACACACTGGACTAAATTGTTTCACTGAAACGAAAGCTTCTACCAAAAAGAGAAAAAAAATTAAGGTAATTAAAAAGACTCTCTAGTATTATCAAGAGCTTTGTTAATTTTATGAAATTTATGAATGAATACTTCTTCTTCTCCAGAGTAAGTAGAATTAAGACACTCAGAATGGTGGAAGAAGATGGTCCATATGTAAGAGAGACAGAGGTCAGTGTGTATACTTACACAAAAGATGAGTACTGAGCCTCAGGCTGACTAAGCATGTTTTTATTAAGGTGAATGTTTCTGGAGTGACCATTGCTTTGTATGGCCTGCATCAACTAAATTCTGCATACAGAGAGCACCCAGAGGTTATATGTAATTCTCTACACTTTGAAAGCACTTAAAAGTGCCACAATCCTCAGACTTTATATTGCGCTAAGGAACAAGGGCACTCACTCTAAATTAGAATGAATCTGTGGCACTTCGCCACAGTTCTAGCTGTGCAGAAAGATTGAAAGCAATTTATCTGTTCCTATTAGACTTTAATAGCTATCTTTTGGTCTCATGAATCCCATCCCGTCATGTTCTTTAATTATGTTACCAAAAGACCCAAGTGATGGAATAAGTTAAAATATTTCATGCCATTTCATTGTCCTTTACCTGATTTGTGGGACAAGGAAGAGCCCCAGCTATGAGAAGCTAAAGACATACTCTTAAGTGTCCCTTTCTAAAAAGTTCTGCCACACATAGAAATCTTTCTTCAATGTAGTCTCAAGACTTTAGGAAGTATTGTTTACTTTCCTGAAGCTCTCACTACAGAAATTCAAGATAAACTCAAAAGCAACTACATGGTCAGGGCTGGCTCACCAGAGCACCCACTTTTTGGCTGATTGTCATCCAAAGATCCTTTCCCCCTTTGTTTTTCTTCCTTTGCGTATCTCTCATCTTTAACAGGCTGGGACAAGTTGCTTAGAAAGAGTGAACCAACCAAGAGCCTGGGACAGAAAAGGGAGAGTAGTTGGATCACATGAAGACATTCTTTGTTTTCTTTCTGATTCACTTGGTTCTTATTTTTGCATCATTGTATAAAACCAGCATCAATATGTGACTATTTCCTCCATTTATGAAATGATTTGAAGTTTTGGTTAGGACCCTTCATCAGGACATTAAATCATCTCTACACTAAAGATAAGGAGAGGAGCCTGGGCAGATGTTACAAGGTCAACGTGATACAAACAGGTCTCTGTTATGATCTTGTCCTGTTTTTCATCCAACACATATTCCTACATTTTGGTCTCAATATATAATTGTCCTCACTTTCCGTAGATGCCTCAAGATAGCTCCGTTTTCACACATCTCTCAATTTATCACTATAAAACGCTGCCACGCTCTGAGACACCAAGACCAAGTACAGTAAAACATGTACCTAGAGGACACAATACCTTACCACAAACACCACTGCTCAAGAAAAGAAGTATTTAAGAACTTAAAAATTACTACCACAATTGTCTTGGGCTTACTTTCAGCTCATTCCTCAAGTGGAGTGTCCCTTTAATTTGTCTCTACTGTATCTAACCAAATAACAACACAGGATTCCCTAACAAAAGAAGGTTTTGGGTAATACTTAGGACACTGTTGGCCAATAAAAATATGATGCAAAATAACCTATGTAATTTTAAATTTTCTAGTAGCCATATTCTTAAAAAAGTAAAATTACATGAAAATAATATATTTTATTTAATGAAATATTTCTAAAACATTTCGTTAAGTAATCAATATTAAATATACTGAGGTAGGGGGCGCCTGGGTGGTTTAGTTGGTTAAGCGTCTGCCTTTGGATCAGGTCATAATCCCAGGATCCTGGAATCAAGCCCCACATCCACTGGGCTCATTGCTCACTGGGGAGTCTGCTTCTCCCTCTCCCTGTTTCTCCCTCTCCCTCTACCTGCTGCTCCCCCTGCTTGTGCATGCACGCTCTCGCTCTGTCAAATGAATAAAATCTTAAAATAATAATAATAAAGTAAAAATAAAATAAAAATAAATGTAAAATAAAAATATTTTACATTTTTTAGGGGGGGTACTAAGTCTGAACTTAAGTGTGCATTTTACACTTACATCACATCTCAATCTGGACTGACCACATTATGTGTTCCTATAGCCACAGATGGTAGGTGGCTACCATATCAGAGCAGATCCAGAAAGTACTCTGCTATTTTCTGGAATTTTTAAGGTACATTTATCATTTGTATTTTCTACTTTATAAAAATAATGCAAATCAGTTTTTTAATGGGGAAAAAAAAAAGAAAAACTCCATTTTGGAAGATAGGCATAATCCCATACCAGCTACATTTGGATGTATATTTTTATAGGACACTATCCTATGTCCAAAACATATTTAAGATAGGCTTTTAAAGAGGTCAATATAAAGGTTAATACATTAAACAGTTCTGAATAAATGAAACAGATTCTGTTTTTACAGTTTTGTTACTTTTTGAGATGATATTTAAAGAGTACTTTCGGGGCACCTGGGTGACTCAGTCATTTAAGCGTCTGCCTTCGGCTCAGGTCGTGATCCCAGGGTCCTGGGATCGAGTCCCACATCGGGCTCCCTGCTCGGCGGGAAGCCTGCTTCTCCCTCTCCCACTCCCCCTGCTTGTGTTCCCTCTCTCGCTATATCTCTGTCAAATAAATAAAATCTTTAAAAAAAAATTTTTTTTTTAATTCTTTATTAGACACCATAAGTGCTCTTTGAGTGACTACTTGACTTTGCTTCCCAGGCCTCACCTCCCAAAGTTACAAAATGATCAATTCCACCACCACACAGCCTCCAGAGGAGTCCTGCTCCCGGAACATCCTCATCACTCAGCAGATCATTCCTGTGCTGTACTTTGTGGTCTTCCTCGCAGGGACCCTGCTCAATGGTGTATCTGGATGGATATTCTTCTACGTGGTCAGCTCCAAGAGTTTCATCGTCTATCTCAAGAACATTGTCGTCGCTGACTTTCTGATGAGCCTGACCTTCCCCTTCAAGATCCTGGCCGATTCAGGGCTGGGGCCCTGGCAGATCAATGTGTTTGTGTGCAGGGTGTCTGCTGTGCTCTTCTACGTCAATATGTATGTCAGCATCGTGTTCTTTGGGCTCATTAGCTTTGACAGATACTATAAAATTGTAAAGCCTCTCTCGACTTCTTTCATCCATTCAGTAAATTACAGCAAACTCCTGTCAGTGGTGGTCTGGATGCTCATGCTCCTTCTGGCTGTCCCCAACATTATCCTGACCAACCAGAAGGCTACTAACGGGAAGGTGGCGCATATAAAATGTGTGAAACTTAAAAATGAACTGGGACTTAAGTGGCACAAAGCATCAAACTACATCTTTGTGGGCATCTTCTGGATTGTGTTTTTTCTGTTGATCATTTTCTATACTGCTATCACGAGGAAAATCTTCAAGTCCCACCTTAAGTCCAGAAGGAATTCCACTTCGGTCAAGAAGAAATCTAGCCGCAATATATTCAGCATCATGTTTGTGTTTTTTGTCTGTTTTGTACCTTATCACATTGCCAGAATTCCCTATACGCAGAGCCAAACAGAAGCTCATTACAGCTGCCAGTCTAAAGAAGTTTTGCTCTATGTAAAAGAATTCACTCTGCTACTGTCAGCTGCAAACGTATGCCTAGATCCTATTATTTATTTCTTTCTATGCCAGCCATTTAGAGAAATCTTATGTAAGAAACTGCACATCCCACTAAAAGCTCAGCATGACTCAGAAACTTCCAAAACCAAAAGAGGAAATACGATGCATGAAAGCACAGACACTCTGTGAATTCCCACCTCCTTTCAAACAAAATCCATGTACACATATTGCAATGTTCAGTTACATAAGACTAAATAAGAAACATGTCCATGCTAATAAGTATCATCTCTAGGCATTACAATCCAATTTAGTATAATGATGAAAACAAAATATAAGTTTCCCTGCTTTTTTATAACATCAGAGAAAAAAGTAACACATGCATTACTCCATTTTATTCCATCAAAGCAGAAGATTTAAATCACTAGCCTAGTCAGTTAATGTAGAAATTTAAATAGCATAAAGAAAATAGGAAGCAATCAAGGCAATTCACTGGGGCGTCTTCCTTCTCTAAATACAAGGATTAAGTTATGTGGTTTTTTTATGTTTTATATGGAGACTTATTAAGCCACTAAATGAGCCTGGAGCTCTGGTGTTAAAATATTTTTAAGTGGACTCTATTGAAGGAAGCTGGATATTGGGAAGTGCTGCCGGCAACTTTCCCTGTTCAATGGCATTGGGAAAAAAACATGTTGACTGGGACAAAGACAAAGACATACACACATACACTGCGTGTACCTACATACATCTAGGGGCAGGAAAAGGAGTTTTCTTAGAAAGCAACTGGACTTGAAAAAAAAGGAAAATCTAAGATTTACAATTATGAGTGAAAAATTACACATAAAATGAAAATTTACATATCCCATTTTCTGATAAAGCAGATGAACTTAAAATGTGCAGATATGGGATATGATTGCTGACTTGTGAGTTATCAAAACTAAATTATTTCTCTGCTATTAACTGGCTAGAAGATATCTAGGCCATCTTCCAAATGTTCTTCTCAAACATTTTGTAAGTCATGTGCATATACTTTTTTCCCTTACTATATACATATATATAATAATAATAAAGAAATTATTTTCAATAGCGTTCAGTTTTTCTTTCTTAAAAATCAAGGTAGGTGGGGCACCTGGGTAGCTCAGTTGGTTAGGCGTCTGCCTTCGACTCAGGTCATGATCCCAGGGTCCTGGGATTGAGCCCCACATCTGGCTCCCTGCTCAGTGGGGAGTCTGCTTCTCCCTCTCCACCTGCCCCTCACCCTGCTTGTGCTTTCTCTCTTTCTCTCAAATACATAAATAAAATCTTTAAAAAAAAAAAAAAAAAAACTTAAAAAAAAATCAAGGTAGGAAAAAATAATGCCAATATTCTTCATAGTCATGACATGGGTGGTCTCTTTATTATGCTAATTATGCATAAAGGAAGGAAGACAGTTACCTAGTGTATTAAAAATTTTTATTTGCCAGACTTTCCAAAATAAGCACCTCATATGCTCTGGGACCTCATCAGATTTTAGGAAAAACAGAAAATACACCTTAAATTGAAGAAGAACTGGGAAGGTATTTACTCTCTGTGTCCACCTTCCACCCGCATAAAAACTCCCTGCTCCCAACTCTGGGTCAAATTATCCCCTCTCAAAAAGAAACAAATCACCAACCTATGACAAATATGCTTGGCAAAACTAAGCTTGCCATATATGTTTGGTTAAATACATCTGCAAAAGAAATTGGCTGTGCTTATTCTTCACAATTCCCACTGGCCAGGACAAATGAGTAAATACTGGTGTTTTACATGACCCCCCCCCCCCACCACCCCGGGAGAAAATGAAAGCCATAAAGAAAATGAGGAGCACCAAATAATGTCTTCGTAACCACTGTGCTAAAGCAGATGGGTAATGTGGAAATCAAGATTTCTCAGGAAGCAACATGCAAGCCAGGTAAGAATACTGTAAAGCAACAACTGATTAACAGTTACTGCATATCAGGTCCAGAACTACAACAAAAAATATAGTAGAGCAATGGCAACACTGGACCAATCCAGAAACTTCCCTGAGATTACCAGTACTATTTTTTTCAATTATGTTATGGACTAATCTCTGTCACTAGTTTATAGTACAGTTTTATAATATATATTTATCTCTGAGAAAGTAAAATAACAATCATATTGTAGAAGCAGTGCTATGAAAGTTATAAGTATTTTTAAAAATGACATAGGGGAAAGGAAAGCCACATGTTGTTAAAGTGGTTCTTCTGTGGGGATGTCCTGTCATGAAGAGATAATGTGCATGCCATTGGTATCTTGCAGAGAACTGGTGAGCAAAAGGCAGTAACAGCTCTTTACCGTTGAAGACCAACCACACCATACCAGTTCTCTCCCAACCCCTCCCCACGCAAACCTCACAGTGCGGTTTACCCAAAAGGAAACCTCCTATCACTCTGGGGGGATGACCTGATGTCAGTTATTTTTTGTATTAATATACTTTCTTCTTCTTCTTCTTCTTGTCCGGAGTCAAAAGATATAAATAGCAGCAATGGGGTTAAGGATAGAATAGAAAGCTAATGGCATATACTTTACTAACATCATCAAGTAGAAACAAAACTCAGTATAAGGGTGTTTTCTAGATTTCTGGGTTAATCTTCTTGGTAAAGCCAATGGATCAGAATTGTTTAATTTGTAGGTGACCAAAAAAATACAACTAAAATGGGGCGCCTGGGTGGCTCAGTTGGTTAAGCGACTGCCTTCGGCTCAGGTCACGATCCTGGAGTCCCGGGGTCGAGTCCCGCATCGGGCTCCCTGCTCGGCAGGGAGCCTGCTTCTCCCTCTGACCCTCCCCCCTCTCATGTGCTTTCTCTCTCTCGTTCTGTCTCAAATAAATAAATAAAATCTTTAAAAAAAAAAAATACAACTAAAATTGGTCTCCTACAATAAAAAGAGATTTACTGGCTAACAGACCTAAACATCCGAAGTTGTGGGCATGGCTTAATTTAAGGGCTGACAGAGGGCCCCAGGTGATGTAACTAAAGCTGAGTTTATACCACTTTTGCAGTCACCATCCACGGTATTAGTTTCAACTCAAAGGAAGCTGTGGGCTCTTTTTTTGTGGTAGCAAAAGGAAAGCAGCACTTCTAGACCTTAAACCTTCACAGCCAGGCCTCCAGAGAATTTCTTCAGAAACCTGGGACTTGGCTCTCATTGGGTCATACCGGCTCATTTTCCATCCCAACCTGTGGCCAGTGGAATCGGACATGCTGGTTGTCAATTATGGCTGGACCCTGATATTAGAGGCAGAGTGGGCACTGTGTAGGCCCAGGGACAAGAACCAGAGAAAGTGAATTTCTCAAGGGAAAAGTCTCATTTTTACTGCTGGGGAAATAGAGTCCGGAGGCTGAGGAGATAACCAACAGATGAGTACCACTGGCAGTAGACTGCCTTTTTATAAACAACCATTGTGAGATTCATGCATCTCAGTGGGCAGGTTTCATGTGTAATCTTAGATGATTATGATCTTTCTTTCTTGATTCTTATCACAAAAGTTTCTTTTATTTAAAAAAAAAAAACTTCAGAATATTTCCATATAGGTACTGAGTCAATTACATATATCAAAATGGAATCATGGTTCGGTTAAAATGTACGAATTCCTATCAATGGGGAATTTTTAGTCATAGTCAAGAGCCACTTTTGAACACCTTTCTGTTAGATTTCTGCAGTCCACATGCTGCAAAGCAGCTACTGACTTATCATCTTCTAGCCACAGATGTGGTTTTTTTTTTTCATTGCTGCCCCAATAAATAAACACATGGGGAAACAGTTGGCTGCAGCTAAGGGCCTGCTGGCCTCTCCTGGTGAGGCAGAAGCTCTCAACTCACTTTCGTTCCCAGCTCCCCTTGTTTTCAATTGTTTCTTACAACAATGTGTATCATGCCTTCTTTTCCACCATAGGCACCTGAGTTTATAAGCCACCCTGGGCACCCCGAGCCCTTGAGGACTTGCACTACAGCTTTCTCTACAGAAGGACCTAGAAAATGTTCCCTGTTAACCAGGTACACTCCAAAGCAGTTTCAGGGCTGGCAGAAAATATAAGAAGCTACGCCATTTTTATCTCTCCCACCTGCAACAGAAGTTGGAGTACAAGCATGAAAAGAGTTATTATAAAAATAGGCCCATCTCAACAACAGTGAAATATATGAAAAGTACTTTCATTGACAATGACTACTTGCTACTTTTTGAATGTGCTCATTGCATCAGTCTGACTTCTCTCATGGTCACAGTTAAGATCTCTGTGACCCATCTCAACCCACTTCCCAAACATTACCTTCAGTGCTTTGGGGACCTGAAATACAAGATTCTGGACTCAGAGTCATCTTGCTCTACTTCCAACCACCAGATGTCACCAGCTCCAATCCACATGGTGTCATTATGTCAGGCAAAGCCTAGAGTTAACACTACTTCCTGCTTCCCTCCCAAATCCCAGGTCACTGGTATCTGCTAAATCCTCCTCCAAAGTGCATGATAAAGTCCTAAGGGCTTACTTTCCTATCATTTCATCTCCTGACATAAAAGTCCACTGAAATGTGGCTCTCATCATCTCCATACAATACTTCACACTACTTAATATAATTCTTTTTCTAAACTAAAAGATTCTCTACATTTAACTAGGAGCTTTTTCAAGCTGTTAATTATTTACATTCTACTTCTTTACACCACAGCTTTCTGAAGGAACACTAGATCTCTGATATTTACTGACTAAAATGAGAAGTTAATCCTCATTTTGTTTGTAAACTAACCACCACTGTCAACTCCCTATTAAATTCACTTTTCTAGTTTAAAAAAAAAAAATGCCACTATTAAAAAAATAAATAAAAAACTTGCAATGCCATGACCAAATGTATTTTCTTATCTGTGTGATACTATGAAAGTAGTTAGGTAAATAAAAAGGAAAATGTTATTTTTTAATAGGAAAACTAGGACTTCTATCAATGCTATTTAAAATAAGAGTTCCTTAAGTGTTTAAAAAGTTACATTCAGAATGTCCTCGTTATTGCACAGTGAAAAAAATCATCAACAAAACCAAAGGCAATCTACTGAATGGGAGAAGATATTTGCAAACAATATAGCCAAAAAGGAATTAGTATCCAAAATATATAAAGACCTTATAAAACTTGACACTAGAAAAATAATATGATAAAAAAATGGAGGACTGAATAGACATTTTTCCAAAAACAGCCTATAAATGGCGAACAGATGCATGCTCAACATCACTCATCATCAGGGAAATGCAAATCAAAACCACAATGACATATCACCCATACCTGTCAGAATGGCTAGTGTCAAAAAGACAAGAAATAACAAGTGTTGGCAAAGACATAGAGAAAAAGGAACCCTTGTGCACTGTTGGTGGCAATGTTAATTGGTGCAGCCAAACTGTGGAAAACAGTATGGAATTTCCTTAAAATATTAAAAATAGAGTGGCGCCTGCATGGTTCAGTCAGTTAAGCATCCAACTCCTCCTTCTGACTCAGGTCATGATCTCAGGGTCATGAGATCAAACCCCATGCAAGGTCCTCTTCCTCTAGCCCTCCCCCCATGCGTGCATGTGTGCTCGCTCTCTCTCTCAA